TCCCTGGATCCCCTGTTAAGAAACAGGCGAGAAGCCCCGCTTAGTGGCTGGAAGCTGGTCTGCAGTGAGGCAGACCTGGCTTTGAACAGAGCGCCTCCATTTCTTCACTGTGAAGCCTCAGTTTCCTCACCGAGAAATTAGGAATAACGAATGCCTGCCAGGGGTTCTGTGAGGGAAGCCTGAGATTCATTTGGTAGTAAAGGCAGCTGGATGCCTCCTCCCACAGGGAGCCTCTGACCTCCGAGAGGCCTCTCTTTCCCCCGGGCAGCTGTCCAGCCCTCAGCTTTTCTTGGCTCCAGGCCTGGGATGGTGGGGGTGCTGAGGGGCTCGCTGAGGAAATGCACCTCCCGTGGCCAGCCTTGACCTTGGTGGTCCCTTTGGACATGGGATGGGCAAGAGGATGGTCCTTATGGTTTGGGGTGAGGCTTGTGCCCCTCTGGCTTGGAGCACCAGGGGTAGGCAGCGGTCTCTGCTGGGGAGAGGCTTTTCCCGGCTCCAATGATGAAGTGTTTTTACTAGTCAGGGCTGGAGATATCCAGTACTTTCTGAGTATATCTGACTGAGTCTTGGCATTCAGATGTCGAATGCCGGCTCAGTCCTCCGCCTGGTTAAGTGGCATTTAGAGGGTTAATGCAACTGTATTTCCTGATGCAGTTTCGCCTTCCTTCTCCAGTGCTTGCTCCTCCCCTGGGTGGCTCCCTGACGGGCTTGCTTCTCCCCTATTTTCTCTTGTCTCAGGGGAAGGCAGGAGTGCTGGGCAGTGTGTGGTTAGGGTGGGGGGGCAGGGCCTCCTCTTGAAACAGCCACGCTTGTGCCTGGGAAGCAGCTGGCACATCTGACGGCACCGAGCTGGCTCTCTGTTCTGGGCCTGCTTCTGTTTATCAGTCCGAAACTCTGAGTCACTCAGCGTGACGGGAGGAGGGGAACAGGGAACAAGGCCCTGGGAGCTGGTGTGGCTCCTGCCTCTGCCTGTTCCAGGTGTGCTCAGGGGCAGGGGAGGAGCAGGTGTTGCCATAAAAGGCAGCAAGACCTAAAGTACCATTTGTCATCACCTTGAGTGTGGCACTGGGCGTCACTAGGAAGACATATCCCTGGCAATCTTTGTTCCTGGGGTGGGGCCTGGCTGTACCAGCCACCCCACCCTCTTCCTTACCCAGTCCCCCAACACAGTGGGTTTGAGGCGCTGGGTGCTGCCCAGCCTCATGGGTGGACCAGCCAGGGTGCGCTCACTGTCTGAGGCCATACCGGGTGTGCAAAGTCACACCTGCACCTGGTCCTGGCTCTGCCTTTTCTCCACGGTGCCACCTCATCTGGTGGAGTCTCTGTTTCCACATCTGTGAGTCGGGGCACAGAGCATGTGCTTTGAAACCCGTGTGTGAGGATGGCGACATTAGCGAAAGGTCTGGCACTAGGTCAGCCCTGACTGGAACACAGCTTCCCTTGCCAAGCTCCAGAGGTCAGCTTCCAAGACAGGGAGACAGACAGAACAGGGTGGGGCCCAGCTCTTCACTAACCCCAAGTGGCCCAAGTCTCTGCAGAGAGAGGAAGGGTGCCTGACTGGCAGTGATCACGCTGAGTTCTGCCTCACCCCTTATCCCTAGCCTGCGTCTGAGGAGGCCAGGAAGTGAGTAGACCCCTGTAGGTGCTGATACCCGGCCGTGGCCACCAACATCGGCACCTATCATGAGCCAGGCATCATGCTGGGTCCTTTACAAATATGGTCCTCACAACAACCTATGAGGAAGGTGATGCTACCCCATTTTACAGATGGGGACACTGAGACTCAGCAGACTGGCAAATTACCCCAGTAGTATATGGCTGAAATTTGAAACTGTTAGTGGGGCTCAGAATTCTGGGAAAGGCTTCCAGGAGTCAGGGTGCTAGAGAGACAGAGGTCTTAGGGCCTGGGCCTCTTGGGGCCACTTGTGATTCTGTCCCATCTGCAGGAAAGTGAGATCCTAGAGTCTGAGGGATCCTGGGGCATCACTGACTGCTCCAAGCAGCCTCCTAGGCTCCCCAGAAAAACCTGTCTAACCACTTCCCTGTCTGACCACCATGTTTCTGGTGCAGCTGCATCATCTCTGCAGCCTTTCCCAGGGAGCCCCAGTGGATGGGGATAGGTCTGCAGGACCCCAGGAGCAGCTGAAGGCCCTGAGTGCCTTCTGCTCTGGGAGCGTTGGGTAGGGTCGGCAAGGTGAGGGAGCTCAGGGCTGGGTTGGGGTATCTGACTCTTTACTGCCCTACTTACTCTCTAGGGTTCACCCCACCCTAGCTGGAGGTCAGAGGTGCAAGCCCAAGAGCCACACATGGATATCCCTCTCTGGACCTGATACCCTTCTGACCCCCATTCCTTCTACCACAGCCCAGTGGGGCTCTCGGGGCTGAGGTGGGGGCAAGCGGCGATGGGCAAGACCTGGGAAAACTGAGGGCTGGGCCAGGCTGTGGCATGCCCCACTGGGGCCAGCTGATTTCCTGCCCCTTTTTTGTGTCCCCAGCAGCCACCATGGAGGTGATGAACTTGATCGAACAGCCCATCAAAGTGACCGAGTGGCAACAGACATATACCTACGACTCAGGCATCCACTCGGGTGCCAACACTTGCGTGCCCTCGGTCAGCAGCAAGGGCATCATGGAGGAGGACGAGGCCTGTGGGCGCCAGTACACACTCAAGAAGACCACCACCTACACCCAGGGGGTGCCCCAGAGCCAAGGTTGGGAACCCTGGGGACTATTTCATGGGAATATTCCAGCAGAAAATAAAGCTCGGCCCTGGAGGGAGATAAAAGGAGGCTCCCAGTCTGATGGGGGAGGCACGGCTCCTGCTCATAGTGACCCACCCTGTCTGAGGAAAGAGGCACAGCTACGTCAGGGTGCCCCCATCTGGAAAAGAGGCAGGTTCCTCTTCCGTGAACCTCTAGTATGGAGGGGAGGCCTAGACCCTGCCCACCAGTCTGAAAGAAGAGGCACAGCCCTTGCCTTTCATGAACTTACAGTATGAGGAGGCATTACTATTGCCCTCGAGGAACCCGTGGGCTACGGGAAAGACACCATCCTTTCGTTCCAGGACCCTCAAGTTTGATGGAGAGGCAGAGCTCCAGCCCTCAGGAAGCCCCTAGTCTGGTAGAGGAGGTACAGTTCTCAAGCCTGAGGGCTCCTAGTGTGGACTGGGGAGGAGCCGAGGCCTGCATGTGGAACATGCTGACATGGAAATGGGCTGAGGCTAGGTGGTGGAGTGACCCACCCAGTTCTGGGACTTCAGGGTGGGGACGCCCTGCCAGCTTACCCAGCTTACCCGGTGGGATGTCTCCTCCTCTCGACTAATTGGAGGGTGGAAACTTTGCCTCCTTCTCCCTGGGGCATCAGGACACTGGCCAAGACAGGGCTGCCTGGGAAGCCTGGACACCTCTATGGGACTTCCAGGTCCACCTGGGGTCGGGGATGGTGGAACCTGGAGTGTGAGCTTAGAACCCAGCTCCTGCTTTCTGAAACCCACCGTCCTGACTTTCCCCCTGATCTGACGTATGATCTTGCATGTCTGATGCCTCTGGGCCTTGATTTGCCTGCCCATATAATGGGAGAGTTGCCTCCTCTGCGGGTGATGAGGGTATAATTAGAATTATGAGCTTTCAGGGTTGAAGAGACTCAGGTTGTCTCCTCCTACCCCCAGTGCGTTGTTAAGGAAGGAACACAGAGTCAGGGTTTGGGCTCTGGAGTCAGGTTGTCTGAGTTCAGATTCCAGCTTGGGTTCTTATAACCTCTGCCTCTGTTTTTCCATCTGTAAAGTGGAGATAATAATAGTACTTACCTTGTAGGATTGTTGTAAATGAAAATATATAAGAAAAGCACTTAATTCACAGCCAGGCACATAATAAATACTCAAAAAATATTAGCTATTCCTGCTAATAATAATAATTGCTAACATTTTTGTAATGAGATGTGCCAGGTACGAGAATCCTTCCTTTTCAGAGTAATTCACAACTATTATCCTATTTAATTCTCCTAAGAATTCTCTGTGGTGGGCAGAACAAGTGGTGCCTCATTTTACAGATGACATAACTGAGGTGATGGTGACCTCCCCAAGGTCACTGGTTAGAGTAAGAACTGCAGGTGGTGTGCTGGGCCTTTGGTCGGGTTGGGAGGCAGCCAGGAGTATCTAGTCGGGCTGTTTGCACAGTCTGCCCTCCAGGTTCGCCTTTCCTGCCTTCTGCAGCTCACTCCCTGTCCGTTGGCCTCCAGGTGACCTGGAGTACCAGATGTCCACAACGGCCAGAGCCAAGCGGGTGCGGGAGGCCATGTGTCCTGGTGAGGACAGCTCGCTGCTGCTGGCTACCCAGGTGGAGGGGCAAACCACCAACCTGCAGCGGCTGGCAGAGCCATCCCAGCTGCTCAAGTCGGCCATTGTACATCTCATCAACTACCAGGACGATGCTGAGCTGGCAACCCGGGCCCTGCCTGAGCTCACCAAACTGCTCAACGATGAGGACCCGGTCTGTGAGGGGCCTAGCTGGGGTGGGGGGAGGCAGAGAGAGGAGAGGTCAGGTGTCCACAAGGAGGGCCCTATCTGGGATGGAGGGAGGTCATTGACCCTGAGCCTCATCAGCGGGTCCCTCTGAGCTTTGAGAAGGGGTCTCCTGGTCCCTCCTCACAGTCCCTCCTCACAGCTGGACCTGGCTGATCTGCTCCTTTGCTCCACCCCCCCCAGGTGGTGGTGACCAAGGCAGCCATGATAGTGTGGCAGCTGGACCTGGCTGATCTGCTCCTTCGCTCCACTCTCCCAGGTGGTGGTGACCAAGGCAGCCATGATAGTGAACCAGCTATCGAAGAAGGAGGCGTCACGGCGGGCGCTAATGGGCTCGCCCCAGCTGGTAGCTGCCGTAGTGCGCACCATGCAGAACACCAGCGACTTGGACACCGCCCGCTGCACAACCAGCATCTTGCACAACCTCTCCCACCACCGCGAGGGGCTGCTCGCCATCTTCAAGTCAGGCGGCATCCCAGCCCTGGTCCGCATGCTCAGGTACTCAGTGCGGGGGCCTGGGGCTTCCCTCACTTGGGCTTCCATACAACATTTATTGAGCACCTACTATGTGCCAAGTGCAGAACCGTGTCCAGTCTTGGTGCTTAGCTGCTCAGGTAACTAACAGGAAGTATAGTATAGGCTAGGGCAGAGATACGTCTGAGACTGTTCAGACCTCTGAGAAGGTTGACTCTAATGGCAAGGATTGAAGGATGAGTAGCATCTATCCATTGTAGATGAAGGGAAGAGTTTTCCAGGCATAAGGAACAGCATGTGCAAAGTCCCTTGCCATCTTCATCTTTCCAGCCTTGCAATGTTGATTGGCCTTTTTCCTTATCCTTGTATCAGGCTGCGGGGTTGCCCGAGTGGAGATATTGATCTTACTCCCTTGCAGGGCCTCTCTAGCAAAGCCTTCCACATGGTAGTTACTCAGTAGGGACTCGTGTTGAGGGGACCTACTGTGTGCCGGTACCAGTCTGGGAGCCCAGGAGCAGGAGTTGTCATGGTCCCAGTGGGGAGAGGGGAGGTGCTGTGTGCTCCACGTATAAGAATGGGGCTGGGCTCAAGGAATGAGGCGATTTTAACAAAGGGCTATTCCCGTGTGGGTGTCAGTATTGGAGAAGGCTTCCTGGGGGAAGTGGCCCACGTTTATGCCAGGCACCGGAACCCAACTCACACTAACCCCCCTGCCTACTGTCCTAGCTCCCCTGTGGAGTCAGTCCTGTTCTACGCTATTACTACTCTGCACAACCTGCTGCTCTACCAGGAAGGCGCCAAGATGGCGGTGCGCCTGGCGGACGGGCTGCAGAAGATGGTGCCCCTGCTCAACAAGAACAACCCCAAGTTCTTGGCCATCACCACCGACTGCCTGCAGCTCCTGGCCTATGGCAACCAGGAGAGCAAGGTAGGCCCCTCCCCACCCCCAGCGGAGACCTGCAGCTCACCATTACGTCACCTTCCGTCCAGCTGCAGCCTCAGGCTGCTGCCTCCTGACCTTTTTTAGGTTAAATATATATGTATGTACAGTTGTACGTGTTTCATCATATAACTGTTTTCAGGATAAGGAAAAGAGAAAAAAATTCCTTGGCCTCCCACAGCCATTGTTATTTCAATGTGCATCCTCCAGTGCTATCCTGTGGGCATATTTGTATTAGCTGTAGTAAAAACACATGTGTAACTTTGCATCTGTTTTCTAAATGATATTTTAAAAATGTTTGTTTGCTGTGTTGTTCTTAAAATCATCCTGCTTAGTGGCAAATAGCATTTCATTAAGTGGGGCCTCAGACTTTATTCTGAGGGAGGGCATCTGGATTGCGTCCCATTTTCCACATTTATAAACAGTTCTGTAATGAACATCTTTGGGCACATAGCTTTTCCCAAAGAGTGGAAAAAATGTTATCAGTAGAGCTAAGGGTTTTTAACATTTCTAGGCTTTTACCCCAGTTGCCAGATTACTTTCCAAAAGGACTGTATTATTTACAATGCCATCACTGGAGATGTCTTTTAGTATAGTTTCACCTCATCCTTTTATTATCATTTTTTCAAGATTTTGCCTTATTTAATAGTCACGAAATTTATTCGGGTTTTAGCTGAAGCTCAGTTATGGCAGCTCTGTCAGCCCCCTCTCCCCTCCTTGTTCCTTGTCATATTCCCTGTCTGTTTCACCCTCATCCTCCCCCTCTCCCCACAGCTCATCATCTTGGCCAACGGAGGACCCCAGGCCCTCGTGCAGATCATGCGCAACTACAGTTATGAGAAGCTGCTGTGGACCACCAGCCGCGTGCTCAAAGTGTTGTCCGTGTGTCCCAGCAATAAGCCCGCCATTGTAGAGGCCGGTGCGTGTTACAGCCTGTGAGGGTGACCCATGTGGCCAGGAGGGCTGGAATGGGGGCTTGGTTAGCGGCCAGGCTTGGTTAGCTGTGTTCCCCTGTGGCTGACGTGACCCCTGTCCCCCATCCCAGGTGGGATGCAGGCTCTGGGCAAACACCTGACGAGCAACAGCCCCCGCCTCGTGCAGAACTGCCTCTGGACCCTGCGCAACCTCTCGGACGTGGCCACCAAGCAGGTGAGCAAGACATCCAGGTCGGTGTCCACCTCTTCAGCCATCCGTCCTTCCATCTTACCACATCCAACCTACCTGGGAGTCTGACATTAGGAGCCATGGGAGGCCGAAGGCTTGGCTTCTACATCCTGCCCTGTCATGGCTGCGGCTGGATGGTCTCTGAATACCCTCATCCCTTTAGCTTAAGGCTCTAATCCCTATTAGGGACTTTGGAAGGGGAATTAATGAAGGGGGCTGATTTTCTAAGCTGCGGTTCAGGTGGTACCAGGAGAATAGTTTTGACCTAGACCCTGGGGTGGGGAGCAGCATTCAGAGGGACAGCTTGGGGACCCTTGTGGTTAAAAACACACTTTAAGGAAAAAAAGCAGTTTTAGGGCAAGTCTCCTGCTCCGTCCTTCCAACCTGACTGTTATTCCTAAGAGCCTCCATCCATAGGCTCTTTACTGAGCACATGCTGGACTCCCAGGCATTTGTGGACATTGGCTCATTTACCCCTTTCAACACCTGGAGGTAGAATGTGGGCCCCTGCCCACATTTGATGAAGAAATGGGTTCAGGTTGGTCAGTAAGGTCCTTGGTCACAGCCAGGAAACGGCAGAGCTGGGATGTGAAGTCAGGGCTGCCTGTCTCCAGAGCCTGGGGTCTTTCTGTTCTACCACAAGGCCACGCATGGCTCCTCTGGGAGAAGTAAGGCTTCTGGGTTAGGGATGTTTCCAAAAAGGGGATTTGGCCTGGGGCCTACTGAGGGAGCAGCTGTGAAGGTGCAGAAGAGTGAGAAGCATATAGAAATGGGTCGGCTAGGCCGCTGAAGCAATTTCCTCCTCCTCCTCAATCTCCTCTTGGCCTGGGAGCCTCCCTCGACCTGAGCGGGGCTCTCCCTGGGTCCGAGGATGCAGACGAGGGGGCAGGAAGGGCTGGAGGAAAGAGCATGGAGCTTAGAGACAGGCTTGGGTTCAGATCTCGCCTACTGGCTGTGGGTCTGTGGGCAAGCCCTGCAACCTTTCTGAGCTTTGGTGGCCCCACAGGAGAGCACTGGTCTCTCATGAGTGTCAGCAGGATCACGGAAATGAAGGTTGCCAGGCACACGGGCAGGGTCCCTCGAGTGTCAGTTGAGTGGGCTTCCAACCCCGTTGGGCCATCTCTCTCCCCTAACACATGTAGGAGACTTTCTGTAGTTAGGGAGTCTCCCTCACTCTCCATTACCTTCCCCTCAACCCCAGGAGGGCCTGGAGAGCGTGCTGAAGATTCTGGTGAATCAGTTGAGTGTGGATGACGTCAACGTCCTCACCTGTGCCACGGGCACTCTGTCCAACCTGACGTGTAACAACAGCAAGAACAAGACGCTGGTGACACAGAACAGTGGCGTGGAGGCTCTCATCCACGCCATCCTGCGTGCCGGCGACAAGGACGACATTACAGAGCCTGCCGTCTGCGCCCTGCGTCACCTCACCAGCCGCCATCCTGAGGCCGAGATGGCCCAGAACTCCGTGCGCCTCAACTATGGCATCCCAGCCATTGTCAAGCTACTCAACCAGCCCAACCAGTGGCCACTGGTCAAGGTGCGAGTGCTGCCATGGTGGGGTTGGGCGAGGGGCAGGAGCGCTCAGCGGTCAGGTTCAGGTGCTGTGTGTCGGTCCAGGCAAAGCTGCTATAACAGAGAGGCCCTGAAATACAGTGGCTCCAATAAGACAGAAGTTTCTTTTCTCGTGGAATGGTTTGGACTGCTATAGAGGCTCTGCTTCTGAGACTAGAATCTTTCTCTGGTAGCTGGGCCGTCCCCGAGGGCAGAGCTTCAAAGTTTAATATGCACATGACCACCCTGCATGGTCTCATTAAACTGCATGCAGGTTCTGGTTTGGTAGGCCTGGGGATGAGGGTGAGAGTCTGCATTTCTAACAAGCACCCAGGTGATGCTGCTGGTCCATGGAACCCACGTCTCACACAAGAGGGTCTGGACAAAAGAGTTATCCTCACACAGTGGTTGGGCTGTATCATCTCCACAGATGCGTTCTAGTCCCAGAGAAGTGGGAAGGCTAGCAGAAAGTGAGACATATCACTTTAGCCCACACCCTGGAAGTGGGTTATCTGGCCACATCTGGATGCAAGGAGACTAGCAACGTTTCATGTGTCAGAAAGCCATGTGTCCTGCTAAAACTCAGAAAGGATGCCAAAAAGGCAGGCTAGAGAGGATTCTGGGGAATACTTGGTGTCTGACATAGAGAGTCTGGGGTGTGAAGGGGTCGAGCCTTCCTCTCAGAAAGCTACCTGGGAGAGCCAGCTGGCATTGGCTAAGTTTTAGACAATTTAACAGTACAGATAAGAATGACTCTAAGTCGTTACGCACACTGAATTTAAAAAAAAATGTGTAGTGAGAGAAAAAGGGCAGCTTAGGGCCCCTCCTTGGGCTTGGTACCTGCTGCAAGCCCAAGGTTGGGGAGGAGTTTGCATACTGACCCAGCAGCTAAATGACAAGCGACCTTGGCCCTTCATCCACCTTGCACTCACGCCCTCATCTCTCCCATGATTTTCATCCCTGCCCCCCTAGCTTCTTGTTTTGAGGATCAAATGAGATGATAAATTTCTTTGCAAGACCCTAGGTGATCCTGGGAGGCCAGAGCGGCTCCTGGGAGTCAGAGACCCCTGGAGAGGAGACCTCAGCCCTGCTGGGGATTGATTATGATATGAGCATCACCAGAGCAGGAGGCTTTGGGGTCAACCATAGCAAAGACTCTCTGCTAATCAGGGTTTGGGGACTAGAAAAGTTAGTATGGCTCTGTTGTCTTTAGGGAGTTGGTAAGAGAGAGGGCATAAGGGTGAGGGCTGGCGGAATGTTCTGGAATGGGATACCATTTTAGCAGGGGCCGTTAGAGTTAGACATGAGAACCCACAGGTGCCGTGGAATAAGGGACATGGGCTGGGGTGGTCTCATTCTCTGGAGATCTTCCAGTATGTCCGTGTCTGACCTTGGGGACAGAGAGGTGATAGGGGAGGAGGAGACGATGCTGGGAACCCAGGGATTCTCCAGACACCCAAGAAATTCCCCTGATTGTTGTCTTGCCAGGCAACCATCGGCCTCATCAGGAATCTGGCTCTGTGCCCAGCCAACCATGCCCCACTGCAGGAGGCAGCAGTCATTCCCCGCCTCGTCCAGCTGCTGGTCAAGGCCCACCAGGATGCCCAGCGCCACGTGGCGGCAGGCACACAGCAGCCCTACACGGTCAGTGAGCTGGTAGTGCCTGTGACCGCCCTCCCTGGGGTCAGGGTGTCCTCTGTGTGAATGTGTATGCACACAAGAGCATATATGGGGAGGCAAGAAGCAGATCCACTTCCAGGACCAGCGAGGTTGTCAGAGTGTTGTGGGGAGTGTGTATGTGTGTGGCCATGTCCAAGGGCCCCCTGTCACCGTGCTCCCATGCCTCTTCTGGTGCAGGATGGTGTGAGGATGGAGGAGATTGTAGAGGGCTGCACTGGAGCCCTGCACATCCTGGCCCGGGATCCCATGAACCGCATGGAGATCTTCCGGCTCAACACCATCCCACTGTTTGTGCAGGTGAGTCTGGGGCACGTGGGCAGGAGAGGTCCCCGCCCCCAACCCCTGCTTATCCCCACTGCTGAAGGGATGAAGTCGGCAGCCATGGGTCTGGTGATCGATGTGATGTGGTTATTGTTTCGCTTTGCATCATTTTCTTTCTTATTAATATGAACTTATAGGTTTTTAGGAATAGTTTTTTAATGATATAGAAAAATGCTTTATGTTATAACGTCAGATGAAAAAAGTAGGAATCGAACACATATATATGGCTATGACAAAAATCAGTGGAAATACACCAGTGTGTTAACAGAGCTGTGTCTGTCTGGGTGGGCACTGTGGCCGGCTTTCTTTTCCATGTCTTCATACTTTTCTTAGACTTTCCACACTTTGTGGTATGAGCTTGGATTAAGTCCAGAAGGGGGAGGTGGAGACGGCTGGGCTCTGTGGTGTGCTGCCTCCCCCCAGCCTTACCCCGACACGCGCCCCTTCTCCCCAGCTTCTGTACTCGTCAGTGGAGAACATCCAGCGTGTGGCCGCCGGGGTGCTGTGTGAGCTGGCCCAGGACAAGGAGGCAGCCGACGCCATCGATGCCGAAGGGGCCTCAGCCCCACTCATGGACCTACTGCACTCTCCCAACGAGGGCACGGGTGAGGGGCCGCGCTGGGCGTGAGGAGCGAGGGCGGGGGCCAGGCCTGGCGCCCCCAGCCAGGACAGAGGCGGGTGCCTGACTGGGCCTTTCCTCTCCTCTCTGCTCAGCCACCTACGCCGCGGCCGTTTTGTTCCGCATCTCCGAGGACAAGAACCCGGATTACCGTAAGCGCGTGTCTGTGGAGCTCACCAACTCCCTCTTCAAGCACGACCCGGCTGCCTGGGAGGCCGTGAGTACCCGGTGGGCTGCGCCATAAGATTGTGCAAGTTGCACACTGCACAAGGGCAGCACGTTTATGAGGGTTCCTGCCATCCTGTTAACTTCATAGATCTTTATTTTATAACTGGATCATTTATGATAATTCTCTGGAGATAGAAGTGGCAGGTTGAACCAATTATCTTTTTTTTTTTTCTCTTATTCACAATTTATTATTATTTTTTGTCTGTATTGAAATATAATAGACAATTAGCTGCTTATACTTACATTGTACAATTCAATGAGGGGATTTTTTGTTTGTTTGTTTGTTTTGCCACTTATAGTTGGCCAATTATCTGTTTTTGACTTACCAAAACGGCAATTTTATCTTGCCCAAACTAATGTAAAGCATTGAGGCAGGGCGCCTTTTTCTGACTTGCATAAAGGTGCTGTACAGGCTGTTGGCTGCCCTGATCCCGGGCAGAGCAGTTCCTGGCGCCCATTCCCTCCCCTCCCCCGGGCTGCTCTAGTCCTGTGGGTGTCCCTAAGCGTGAATGGTGGGACCCTCCACCCCGGGGAGGTGCCTGAGGAGAGGAGTCCATCAGGGTCCTGGGGGACCATGTCATCCTCTTTCCTCCAGGGTCTTCGTTTTCCCCCGGACCCCCCTTTGTAGAAGCATCTCTAGCTGCTCACCCGCACCCCCTGCTTTCCACCCTTCCCCCTGCCCCAATGTTTCTCTCTGTCTTCCTTTCTCAGGCCCAGAGCATGATCCCTATCAATGAACCCTATGCGGACGGTAAGTGTGTGCAGAGTTCTCAGGACCCTGGAAAGTGGGGATGGGGGAGCATGTGGGTGTGAGTAAGGGGGTGGGGGAGCATGTGGGTGTGAGTAAGGGAGAGGCATTGTGTCTCCAGGGCCAAGGGCCAGTCGTGGCCACTGTGTGGCATCCGCATGCACTGTTGTCTGGGTCTCCTGATGAGCAAGTTTAGGGAGAGGTTCAGGCCCACTGGGGGTGCGCAGAGGTAGAGGAGGGGGCTGAAGCCTCTCCAGACCCCTAAACAGGGTGGCCCGCAGACCCTGGACAGAGTCCCCCTTCTGCTCCCCAGACATGGATGCCACTTACCGCCCCATGTACTCGAGCGATGTGCCTCTGGACCCCCTGGACATGCACATGGACATGGACGGGGACTATCCCATCGACACCTACAGCGACGGCCTCCGGCCCCCGTACCCCACTGCAGACCACATGCTCGCCTAGCTGGCTCGACCCCAGTGTGACACCTCTCGCTTTGCAGCCTCCCTCACGCCCGTCGGCTGCTGAGACACGCTTTCCCTTCCCTCTGGAATCTTCTTTTCATGGAGGCCCTCTCATGTTTCTGTTGAGACCCTGGCTCCTTTTTGTGGGGAACAAGTGTGGGGCCTTTTGCAGTTGAGCTCCCGCAAGGAAGGCGTGCCTCGGCCTGCCTTATTTTGTTATTTTCGCTGGGGATGGGGAGTCCTGACTCTTCTATGAGTAGTGGGCGGGTAGTGCAGGAAGGGCACGAGTTTCTAGGGGACACAGGCCTGCCCTGACTCCTCTGTGTCTGCCCCACCCCCCAGGTGCAGCTCCTCATCTGGGGGGGCTCTCTGCGCAAATGATGGGGCAAGACAGACAAGTGCCTGAGCCTGGGGGACCAGGGCCATGACTTCCTGCCCAGCCTCGTGCCTCCATAAGGTCTTTCTTGGGATGGTGATCTGCTCTTGCTTTTCTGTTCCGGGTCATGGGTCCGGGGACTGATCCCCCCTCCCCAACCCTGTGGCCCCGGCAGTAAAGCTTTAGCCTCTGTTCCCTTCTCAGTACCCCCTTCCCTGCCTTGGCTTTCTAGTTTCAGCCACCTGGGTCCCATGGGACTTTGGTTCCTTTTCCAGGTCTGATTTTCTCACTGAACACCTGACCAACTGTCTTGAGCACCTGGGGTCTCCAGGACCCAGGTTCAAGGCCCAAAGCCCCAGAATCCAAAGCTCCTCTTGAAAAGTTCAGGAACCATCTGGGGAGATGGGACAGAGATATGGAGAGTGAGTCCCTCACTCCAAGACCCTGCCTGCTTCCCTCCGTGGGATGCTCAGCTGGCTTTGGTCCCCTCCCCAGGGAGCTCTCTCTCCCCCTCCCCCCCACAATGACTGCCCTATTGCCCCCGAGAAGTGCTCTTGGCTGACCCCTCTGGTGTGGTGAGGGGCTTTCTCTTCCCCTTCCCGTTTCAACAGCCTCCCCCAACTTCTGCACATGGGTGTGGGGGCTGGGGGAGGTCCCTGCGGAGAGTTTTATTATTATCGCTTTATGTTTTTGGTTATTGGTTTTTGTATAGACCAAAGCAATGGAAATAAAACTAACACAGAGATCCAGTGGAGGCTGTTTGGGGTGTGGGATGGGAAGACGGGGGCTCTCTTTAGCAGCCTCATGACCTCAGCTGGATCCCAAGTGTCCTCATGACCATCTTGTGTGTGGGAAAGATGTGGAGAGAAGGGGGCCGGGGAGAAAAGTGTGTTTGTGGAGGTGGAGTGCACTTAATTCAGGACACACTTGTAGGGCTCCAACTTGGACCCTTAGGAGAATAGGAGGGGCGAAGAGATGACTTTCAGCGACACCAGGCCTTCCTCATCTTTCCAGTGGGCCACCTCCTTGCTAGCCTCTCAGCCTCCAGCCCTGCCCTGCCCTGCCCCTGTCTGGCCTGAATGTATATTTGTTGGATTTCTCCTGTGGCCTATGGCTTGGGGTCCAGGCCCCTCTGTGGTCTGCGGTGGGCCCACCCCAGCCCCTGACCACCTCCCTTTGTCCCCTCAGCCAGCATCCTCCATGCTGTCTCTTGCCTCATGATCTTTGTCCAAGCTGTTCCTTCTGCCTGGAATGCCCTCACCTGCTCACCCATTGGGATCCAGCTCAGCCCTCACTCCAGGAACACCTCCTCCATAACCTTCCTCCCTGCTCCCAACCAGGCTGAGATACTGCCCGTTCTCTGCTCCATGATACCCTGTGCATACCTGTCATTTCTCATCACATTGGCGTAACTGTTGGCTTATGTGATGGTCCCCCACCCACATCAACAAATTCTCCTTCCTGAGGATGGCTAGTTATAACACACTTGCCAAGGCTAGTTTTAACACACTTGCCACACTTGCCATGTTCTTTGTATGGGTGGCTGGGCCCATTGCCTCATTCCTACACCTGCCTGGAGCTCAGGCAGTGGAGGGAGGCCAAGCCTTGTCAACAAGGCCATTTCCCTTGTTAGGGAGGCCTCATGGCACTGCACAGATGCCCTGCTGGGGGCGGGGCTGGGAACCCATTTAGGAGGCAGCTGTAAGGTACAGGCAGGAGGTGATGAGATGCTGAACTGAGCTCCGCTGAGAGGAAGGAATGTTGGAAGGGAGGGGACAGAACAGTTTTCAGAGATCTTCCTCTATATTCTGTATTCAGGGCCTGTCTTAGTCTACTCAGGCTGCTATAATGAATTATGATAGACTGGTAGCTTAAATGACAGACATTTCTCACAGTTCCAGAGGCTGGAAGTTCAAGATCAAGGTGCCAGCAGGTTCGGTGGTGAGAGCCCACTTCTTGGCTTGTAGACGGCCACCTTCTGGCTGTGCTCTGAGAGTGAGGTCTCACTCCCTTTTATAAGGCACTAATCCCATCGTGAGGGTCCCACCCTCATGACCTCATCTAAACCTAACTACATCCCAAAGGCCCCCCACCTCCAAATACCATCACATTGGAGGCTAGGACTTCAACATATGAATTTAGTGGGGACGTAGATATTCAGCCCATGACAGGATCCTGACAGGAAACACTCAACTCGGGTAATTTGAGAATTTAGTAGAAACAGCAGGTATAGGAAACAGTAAAGGAGAGGGCCGTCCCCTGGGCTAATTGGGGGCCTTGGGCAGGAAGGGAGAGAGTGCTTCCTGAGGACAGGAGCCTGATGGGGGTGGGGGTTGGTCACTTCCTCCCTCAGGAAGGCTGTGACCTCACTTCCACCAGCGCTCCCTGTTGGCCAAACGCAAGAAGAAACCAGAGAACCCATCGGTATGGTCCATTCATGTCTCCTGCTACCCAGAGCAGAGGGAAGATCTGGAGAGGCCAGTGAGAGATGCTCAGCTCCCAGCCCCCACAGCTAATCTTTTCTAAAAGAGGACTCAAGGCAGCAGACAAAAAAGGATCGCTCTCTCAAATCTCATAACAAGCAATGAGGATACGAGAAAAGAAGGCAGCAAAGCACTCATGTTAAGGGTTAATACTAGACATAACAGCTTCATATATTAAGTACTGAGCTTCCTAGCAGCCTGGCCCAAAAGGAAAACTTGAAGCAAATTTATCTCAATGGATTGAGTTGGATGCTTCTTCAGTTTTCATGTAGGAGTTGTCTGAGTCCCATAACCTTGAGAAAGTCAATTCACTTATCTGAACCTCAGTTTCCTCATCTGTAAAATGGGGATAATACCTGTTCCGTCTACTGAACATGAGGATGAAATGAGAAAGCGCAGGGATTCCAGGCAGGAAGAAGGGGAAAGGGTGAGAGGCTTTTTCCCAGAGAGGCTTTGCCTTTCTGTTTTCTATAAGGGACACCCACCCCGGGACATATCTGGACATTGGCTGGAACTGTCACATGACCCGCTGTATGGGAAGCTGAGAAACAGAATGTTTTAGCTGCACACATTGCTCCCTTGATAAAAATCGGGGTCTTATAGCAAAGCGAAAGGGGATGTAGGAGACATGGATAAGACACCGGTATTGTCTGTGGCAGCTGGGAATGAGGCCTGATGGACCTTGTCCTTTTAGGAAGGCTCTGTGTGGGAGGCAGCAGAGGAGCTGAGTACCTGGGTTTCAGCACAAGAGCGGGTGGAGTAGCAGGCCCGAAGGGGAAACGCGGGCTCAGATGAGGTGGGCTGCCTGACTGAGCAGCCACGTCCAGAAAACCTGGCCCTGTGCATCCAGGGGCAGGTCTCTGCCTTCCACCTGCACAGCCACCCTCTCTACCCTGGAATCGACAATATCGGCGGAGACAGACACTGACCTATCATAATGGCAGGTGCCATGCTGATGGCAAGGGAGGGATAGTCTCTCGATGGCAGAACCAAGGCCCCAGAAATGCTGACAAACCAGGATGAGGGACAGAATCCAATACGGTGGGATTTCGATAACAAGTTATTAAAATAAGTCTTAAAAATAAGTTATCATCTGTGAACTTAAAACCACTCTTAAAAAGTCTGTCAATTAAAAAAAATAAGTTATTAAAAATAATAAGTTTTTAAAGGCTTACACTAAAAAATTTAAAAACACGTCCCTGCTCTTTGTTCTCCACCCCCTGAGGGAAGCGGGTGAGAATCTTTTTCCTTTGGGCTCCCCCAGAGCTATCTGGTTCTGGTCTTGAAGGGTGGCCCTTGTGGCCACTTGCTGAGCCCCTGCTGCATAATGAACTAAAGGCTTCCCTTTCCTCACTTCCTGGCCACAGAGTCTCCACTAAGCAGGACCTGGATTCATTCCTTCCATTTTACAGATGAGGAGCACTGAGGTTCAGAAAGATCTTATTCTCTGCAAAGGTTCCCCATAACATTCCTTGCTGAGGGGGCACTGAGGGCTCAGGGCAGGAGTGGACACTGCCTCCCCCTTTGAAGGAAATCTGCAGAGGTCCATCTTGCCCCCATGTGCACCATGACAGCCCGCCAACAGGACTAAGGAGTCCACGCACCTTTCTGGAGCCCCCTCCACATGCAAGGCACTCAGATGGTGTGACCACAAGCACACGTAGAGCCTGCGTGTGACCTCTTTGCGCAGGAAAAGTTAAATAACTCCCCAAGAGTTAGACACCCAGCCCTGCTGTAGTCCAATGGTTGCAATGTGGTTGGAGAAGACAGAATGCTCTGGGATTCCTGGACAAGGCTTTCCGGGAGAGCTGGGTCTTGAGAAATAGCCTGGGGTCAGTGTGGAGCAGGACCTGTCCACTGGCCGGCTCTACCCATTGGCTAAGTTATTTATCAAGGATTTATTGAGCACTCAAGAGTGGCCACCTGTGCCAGGCTCTGGGATGTGGAAATGGAGACCCTCAGCCCCTGCCCAGGGCCGGCATTTCCTGTGGGGCTCACAGAAGGGGGAATCAGTGTTCACGGCCCAAGTCAAAGGAAGACCCAAGACTCTCAGAGCATAGGGGAAAGGAAGAAAAAAAGTCTACCAGTGAAGAGTGTAAGAAGGACCGGCTGGCCAAACGTGGCACAGCAAGGGCTGAGAGGAAACCGTGATAGGACCCCATCTGCACTGGGACTCAGCCACTGTTTCACACAGGACATGACTTAGCTTCAGGAATAGACTTATTTTTGTCAGGGAGTCCAGATATATGGGAAAAACTCAGGATTTATTATCATCATTATCATTATCATTATCATTATTATCATCATTATCATTCTTATTATTTTTAATGACGACAGCGCCTAGTATTCCTAGGCGGTCTCTCATCCAAGTACTATCCAGGCCCGACCCTGCTTAGCTTCTGAGATCAGACGAGATCGAGCACGTTCAGGGTGGCATGGCCATAGACAGGCTCTACTATTTTGAAGACCAGAACCAGTCAGGGTGTCCCTGTTATTTTTGGTTTATGTTAGGGTACACAGAGTTTCACTCTGACTGCCAGTCATGACAGGCTCAGAGATATTGGCAGCAGGCCCAGGGGCCACTCTTGCTCCTGCTCCAGTGTGTTGAGGGCTGGGAGAGAGGGAAGCACAGTGGGGAGCAGGGGTCCGGATCCAGCCAGGTTACATCAGGGAAGGCTCCCCAGAGGAGGTGGCGCCTGAGCTGAAGCTTGAAGAAGGAAGAGTGGGCATAGTGTCTGCAAAGTCACAGGCATTTGTCCCTCCTTCACCTCCAGCTTCTCCAGAGGCATTGGGGTGAAAGGCTGCAGGTGAGGTGGGCCTGTTCCTGAGAGGGCTGATGGGGGTGTCTGGCCCAGGTTTTCAAGCTGTCAGGGTACAGGGGCGTGTGTGCCGGGGAGAGCTGAGGCTCTGCCTGACCTTATACAGTCAATGTGGACACCCAGTGTGGACACTTGGTCCCACCCACACCCAGTGGCTCCCCTGAACCTACTTCTTCTGCCTGAGTAGCAGGGCTCAGTGGGGTGGGCATCATAGGGGCTATTTGGGACTCTGGCTTCCTGAGGGGTGGACGCCTCTGCTGCTAAAAGAGAGAAGAGGAAGTAGACAAGTGAAACCCCAGACAAGAATCCAAGGCTGTCCGGAGGAAGGTGTGTTTGGGACCCAGCCCCCTTTCATGGGGTCTCTAAGTCAAGATCAGCAAAAGCATTGTTTATTTATTTACTTATTTACATACTTACTGGGAGGCATTAAAATGAGAAGAGAAATCC